TAAAATGTAACAAGATCTGTATCTAATGAAAAAATGTTATAATTTTAAGTAATTTTAACAACATTTTTAAGTTTGTGTAAAGACGGTAAATAAATTATTGTATGGACTTTTATAACATTGTTTTCATTTCCTGAACTTTCAGGACTTATACCTCTTTATCACGACGTCGGCCAATTACTCCTGCTGTCTAACTCCTGAAAATGTTAGTGCTCCAAAGATCGAATACATATTTTACTCTCATTCCTCTCAGAAAACAAGACCATGAACAAAATTCCGACTGTACGGTTCTCTGACTCCACAGTCACCCAAGTCAACATTTACTTCCCACTTAGAAAGATGGCTTTGTATGTGGGTAATGTAAATTTAAAGACCAAGCCGAGCCAAGCCCCGTGCAAGGACAGTCTGCAGTCTATGGTCGTTTCAGTAACCGGGAGGGGGCATTACATTTCCCCGATATTGTTGCACTGCTTAACGTAGCAGTGGGAGGAAGAAAGCACTTTCTCCCGGAACTCTCACTGCAGTGAGAGATATGCTGCTTGCAACGTAAATTATGATTTCCCATGCTTAATCATCACACAATGAAGTCTTGCACTCGACGCTGAAGCAAAGCTCCACGTCTTCGAGACTCAAAACAGGATACAAGCAGGGAAAAGCTATCGGCCTCACAGTTCGGATAATTTACCTCTGGTTAACCACATCTCAATATATTCCGACAAAAACCAGTGGTTATCTAGCTTGTGAAGGCGCTGAAGTCCATGGATTTTAACAAATGGTGAAGTCGTATAACAACAACGGTTATGAATCTTAAATATTGTCCTTGAATTGTCGACCGAGGTTGGTGGGTGATGACGGCAGATTATACTACTCTTTCCAAAACATGAGATCGTGACGTGAAAACAAACCAGCCAGTTACCAGTCTCTTGTGTTTTTATTCGGGGTGTTAGTTACAAAAGAAAGTAACAGGCTTTTAAAATTAAAGCAATATAACTTGATCTTGGATCATAGTGTCTCGGGACAGCCACGATATTTCATGCTTAAACAGGATAAGCCTGACTAACACCTCAAAGGTCTCAAGGTCAAGCTCCCAGACTCGTAGGTTGTTGATACAGTTTTGTTGAATAAATATTTTCGTCTCCCGCCATAAAACCAATGTCCCTGATTGGAATACACACACTGGGATAGTGGGTGGGCCCGAGACCGAGTATGGATGCGATGGAAAAGAGAGAAATATAGAACCTCAGTAGTTCAGATTATAGACAGTCACTTTACTGTAAATGAACTATCACGGTTAATTAGATGTGCTACTTGCTCGCAAAGCACTGGGGTTAAAAAAAGGAAAGGTGTGCTCCAGTTTGTGAATTGGAAATTGGAAATTGGAGCATTCTTTGAGACTTTCCATACCTCACTGCCCTTGTCTATTGCAGTTAAAAAATTACTATTACAACCTAAAGCGTACTACAGATTATAAACTGGACAGAAGTCAGAAACTACTTTGCGCTGCATTTCTTGAACAATTTACCTCATCGGAAAATATTTCAAATTAAGGTTATATATCTTGTTGATATATGCGTTTTAAGTGAGAAGAATTTTATGAAGGATACAATTAAGATGGATGTTTCCTAGGATATTTACACAGAGATGAAGAAGTTTCTTCTGAGCTGTGACGTTGTGTGATCTTGTAGTAGATTACCAAGATTTCGAAGAAACATACCACCATCTTCTTCTCGGTTGACATAAACCCTAAAGATGTAGACGAAACGTTTCTCCGAAACACTAGCAACAACTTACAAGTCTACACGTTGTCAGAACACAGGACACCAAAGTCAACAGGTTAAGACATGCGTTCGCTTAATCAAAGTTAACTCACAGACAGGTTTTACTGAGTACATTTTTATTGCTAGTAACGCAATCTAATGAAACTGTGTAATATGGTGTTCAGCCGAAAACAGTTTGAGAGTCGGTAAGTTCAGACAGACATGAAGACGTCTGCGTGTTATTACAGTTTTATGACAAGGAGGCGTGACCTCCGCAAAGAATTGAATTTTAAAATTGAATTGGGTGGATATTCTTGACACCATTGATCTCACGTGCAGGCGGGGAATCCCGGACACGAGTGGGTCATCGTACTGAAACACCTTGTCTTACTGAGCAGAGTCATCTGGCCGCAGTACATAAAAACTAATGTTACGTAACATGGGGAATTCTTCAGAGTTCAGCGCAACATTCGCAAGACAGCGATTTACATTGGCTCAGTTATGGCGTAATACAAATGCATTCTTAAAGTATTCGCTTTGAAAACTAACCGATTCAGATATTTCATTATATTCTTAAGTTTCTACGGGCGAATTCCGAGAACCATTCACTTAAACAAGCCAGGGCTGCTTCCTCTTCAGTTAATCAAGTTCCTTCTATTCGGGAGGCCCAGGGTTCAGAGGACGAATACAAATTAAGTATACGAGATTTTAGGTTCTCACGGCGGCTAATATGAAGACTGTCTTCTGGGATATTGCCCTGTGTAGTCTGGTAAAAGTTTATAGAAGTTCCAGAGGTTCTCGCTGCCTCTGTCATCAGGACGACGAGCCTGATGATGGAGGCATACGGACATCCTAGACGACAGTTATCTTCACAAATCAGGGCGGATGAAGCAAGGAATCATCCACAAAATGCAATGGTACATTTGAGCAACGCATTCCTCATTTAAAGCAAGAGTTCGCATTAAACAGCGGTAATGCAGCTGATTTCGAAAGCATTCCGTCAGATGCTCAACCAGTATACCGGGTGATATGTACAGAATGCCAATGTATGAAATAAAGATATTTTAATCCACTAAACAATTATATACGTCAGAAATGGCACTTTATGAATTAGTGAATCTAGTGTAGGTGTTCAAAATGGCCACCGTTCGCTTCGTGGCGCAGATGACAGCGGTGAATAACTGCTGCTGTGTAAACATATTTTTGGGACACACTGTATTAACATGTAGGCCAATGCATTGTATTCGTGCCAAGAAAAAAAAAACAACCACTTCTTCTTTATAAGCAATTCTTTGTTTTGTACTTGGGAGGTTCCCGGCTCGAACCTTGGTCTGGACGAATGGATATCCTTTTACTTGTTGTTTACTTACACAATTCCTTAAAATTCACATGCTTTGTATTTAGGTCGTCAGTTAAAATCTGTGCTTGGACAGACGCCTGCTATGGTCTCTACCCTCCAGACAATACGGAAATTGTCGTTCAACTTTCGTAACAGTTCACGGTCACTGCCTACCAAAATATCATCGCTTAAAATTCATCATTAAACCATAATTTCTGCAGTTTGTGGCTACATATTATTTAACATTTAATTAAGTCTTCTTTTCTTGTTAATTTTTATGCCGATTAATAAATTGACCTCAAGACTGTTAATTCAGCTATTAAATAACAAAATAATCTATTATTATTATTATTATTAGGAAATATGTAATTTTACACATATCTCTTCCTTAATCCTGATATCTGAGTCTGAGTCATCTGTAATAGTGTAGCTAAGGTGCGATTTAAGGATCCACTCTTGTGTGTCAGGGGCATGAGAATTTGAAAGTGGATATTACGTTATCACAAGAAATACCACAAAATACATAACTCACGGAATAACCCAAGTTTGTAACCTCTCCGATTTTATAATGTAACAAACTTATGCTGGAAGGGGGTGTGGTGGGGGTTCGCTAAGACATCCTGGAGCAGCCAAGCACACCCTCACGGAGTCTAAAGAATGTTTGAAAAAAGGAGAAGGGAATAAAGACATTTCGTAGGAAAAGGGTTAGAGGAGGAGAAGGCGAGAGAGAGCTATAAAACCTGCATCATGACATACATTTCTTCAGTCAGAAGAAAGTGAGATTTGATGAGAAGCGTTGCAGTAGCTCAAGAACCAAGTGAAAGACTGTTTCTACGATACGTGGACGGCATTTGTTTCAGAGGTTAGTGACACCTGTATAACATTTCAAACAGCGAAGATCACAAACATATTTTAAAACAGTGAAAATATATATTAATAATTAAATATACAGTTTCCCGAATACGTTCATAAGTCCTTCATTGGCTTAGGTGCTCATGTACTGCAGCACTAATAACACACCAGATATGACATAGCAGTTTAAAATAGTTTTCATTTTATTTATTCGATATATCGACAACTGTTCGAAAGAAAAAATTGCAAGTTTTCATTAGACATATTTCGTGTTATATCAATTAGTATTACGATGGAAGATAGATGTCTTCTGTGTTTTAGCGCTGTGTAGTCTGGTAGAAGTTTGTCAACGTTTCAGAAGTCTTTGTTGCTTCCAACATCAGGGTGATTGCCCTGGTGACGTAGGCAGTACGGACAAATTGATAACAGTTCGATGCAAATTTCATTAAAAGGAACTATCAGACAGATTCTGATAAAATTTATATTTTTTTAAGAACGTGGAGCAAAGACCCCAAATACAAAATTTGAAACCTGAAAAAATTTTGAAGGGAAAAGAGTACTTTGAAGACAGAGGTAATGATAGGAGGATAATATTAAAATGGAATTTCAACAAGTAGAATGTAAGAGTAAGGACTGTTCGAGTGAAATATTCTTTTGACTCCGGGTTTGAGAGCGATAAATAATGAATTACTGGAGCAAGGTTTGTGAAATTGTCAGTGGAAAAAAGATTATGACCATATCTCGGAAAGAACTGAACAGAAGGTTGTATGAGCTAAACGTAATTTAGGACTTGAAGGAATTAACTAGGAATCAAGCCCCGTAGACCATCAGCTTATAGCACAACAATATTTATAAACTGTAAGTAATGTAAAATACAATAAACTTTTGGAATACAGTAGCACTTGAGAGCTTATGACTGAGGGAAATTTTGAATGAGGAGAAACGTGTTCTGATTTGAATACAATGAATAATTCTCCTGTGTCTTTAATGTATCCCAAATGTAAGAAAATAAGGACACGAAGTCAGACGACAAACGAGGTATACATATTTTCAAAATGAGTTATCTGAGATGTTGCATACATCACTTCTGATTATAAATTATAAACAATTATAATGATGCTGTGACATATCTATCACACTTAACACACTGTATTCTTTATAAATTTCCGTGGATGTATTTTACATTATATAGATATTTATTTTATTGAGACGGTTTAATAAGACAATAAATTTCGATTCAAGCTTGATAAAAAAAAACATCTCCCTAGAACGCCAGTCGTCCTATTGATACATGTATCCTCGATAACAAATTTTCATGTCATTTTAATAAAATAATAATGCAGTCATAAAATAGCGAAGATTTGAAAGGAGACTGTAGTGGGCAATATGCATTAATATACTACGTAAAAATCAAACCAGTGAAAGTCGTAATCGAGGAGACATCTGAAAAGGCATTCATGTCTCCGAACACTACAGCCGTTTCTACAAAAATCCACTCGGTAACAAAACTGGTTATTTTTGTACTTTGAGGCTTGCAACGAGCTCTATTTTGACAGACTGTACTTTCCAAGAACAGTACATTTCCAGTGACCTACTACTCGCACCTTGTAACCCGAAACACATGCACTTTCTTCATAACAATATTCTCTTCCCTACATATTACACGTGCAAAGTTGTATTTAACTCGTTCTTCATCTAAATGGACGGAAAGTGTGATTGGTGCTAAGTCTGTCTGTGAAAGGAATATGGTCACTTGATTCTAATTAGTTACAGCAGGTGGCTGAAGCGTTAAAAATGAAACGAAAATCTACACTCATTCATATGTGATCACACATTGAGAGCAAGATAAATAACTCCATGAAGCAGAGTCCTTCTTGAAAAGCTGACAGTCGTTTAGCTAATTAAGAAATTTTCCTAATTTTGTAGAAACTGAATATTCATTTCAGTGTTTACACGCAAAGATCACTGGTTATTATCCTGAGACAAGTGAATACTGTCCACACCTCCCACCCTATTTCTTTAAGATTCATTCTAATATGTCATCTCATCTATGCCTTGGTCTTCCAAATGCTCTCTTCCCTTTAGATGTTCTTACTATAATTTTTAATGTATTTATCATTTCTGTTATGCGTGTCCGCGTTTATTTGAACACCCTAAATAAAAATTTAAACTTTCCCAACAACTTTTAATGAAGAATTCCAATATCAAATCGCAAAAGCCTTTAGACAGGTAAATGAGTAGAGACGGTTAATGCACCGATTGGAAAGGACACACAAAAGTTGACTGCAATTTCATTTTCTGATTTAGTAATTAATAATATTAAACACAATGGCAATCTGCGATAGTTTGCTGAGAGGTATAACGCAGAGATGGTCCGGAAAACGCCAAGGCCAGTCAAGACTTCACCCTGACCGTGACCAGTGAAAGTCTGAGCGAGCCTTTCAATTTCACAGCTTTCACTTCACAAAACGACTCCCAGAGCAGACGGCACGAATAATCAGGTCCAGTAAATAATCGGTTCCAGTTTGCTAAACGTCGCCTTTCTAGAAATTTAAGTAAAATATAAAATTACCAACGTCGTGGACGTATAACTGAACTTAGTTTGGAGTGATGGCTACCCTTTCGGAAAACAAACATGGAAGTCGAGCCAATAACACGTCTGATTTTGCTCTGATGTCTCAGCTTTGAGTGAAGAACCTAGACTATCAAACTATCAAAGAAAGTATTTGGGGCTAAGGCGAAATAAGTGGAAATCAGTAAGTATTAGGACATAATCAGGGATGACTAGATTTATTCTGCTCATTACACCCTGTTCCAGAAGGAAGCTGACAATGTAACTGGAAGATGGAGAGAATTATAGGCTATTTTAGAGTGGAAACCTCTAAGAAATTCGTACATCAACTAGAAGGAGATGAAAAATAATATTAGAAACGGTAATCAGATAAACTGACAGGTAATTCACAGTTGACAAAGAAATTCTAATTCATGTGTGCTCAGATAAAGTCAAATAAGTTACTGGGACAATGAATTGGAAAGGATGTGGAAAGAAGCGGTCGTGGTCTATTTTTTGTTTCCATCACGGTATTTGTTTGGAAGGACTTAGGAAAACCACAGATGCCCTCAATCAGGATATCTGGTCTTCGACCCAATATTTTGATTTTCCCGAACTTATACAATTATGGAGGTCCTGTCAGAATGTATGAGAACCCTAAGGTACCAGCAAATACATGTTTTGTCTATATTAAGGCCATGAGCCATTTGATAACACAAGTCAACACGCTTCTGGTAACGTGATTGTAAGATAACTCTTCACATTAAGATGGCTGTTTTCTGGTATGTTGCGCCCAGAAGTTTGCCGACGTTTCAGAGATACTTGCTGCCTGTATCATTAGAACGACCATCACAAATATACGTAAGCCGGGGAAGGGACAGAGCACGAGCCATCATCCTTTGCAATCTTACTGTGACGTAGCTCACGCTCGCAGATATCTTGCGTCAACTGTCCAACACAATGATGTGAATAAGAATTCGCGGCGACATATTTCCACGCCACCATCTTAATTTTGTGGTACGTAATTCAACAATCGTAAAACTTGACCTTGCCTCGACAGAATTGTTTTCCTGTTTGTGCTGGCATTTGAATCTCCCTCACTGTTTCGTTTCATTAGACTGACTGAGAGTCCGGAACTGATCGCTCTCACATGTGACCGAATTCACGTTCTTAGCGACGAGGTTCATCAACCTCGGTTTCTTCACGATGCATTTCCCGGCAAGAGTTCGACGTCTTGTCTTATCTTTAACAGAGTGGCTCGCAGACAGTAGTTTTCTTCTTAAATTATAATAAGGGAAGTTGCGATTCAATTTTTTTTTAAATAGACACAGATTTGTTCCTTATTCTAAATGAACGTAACTTTATTATATTCGGAAAATACTCAACATTTTGTAGTTCAGGAAAATTTTACTTCCGTCTTCCATCTAAACATGTGAAGGTTAAAATGTACGAAGGGATAACTATGGTGCTTATACTGGTGTTAACGGGGACCTTTAAACCGTGTATGTATATAATCGTGAAGCCGGGCCTTGAATAACGGGCGTGACATGGTAAGACATGCGTCAGACAACGTACAAGAAAAGTAGGTAAAATTCGCGGCACGGTTGGCCGGTCTAGATAAATTAACTTCTGCTCAGCTTAGTAAGTAGTCCAGACGGAAACACGCATCACATCTTAAGGACAAAGAGTTCTGAACACACCCACACTTGTTACAGCATTTGACCAATGTTCTAGACTTTTATAATAATTTAATTCTTGAAATTATTAGCCCATATTTTGTAATTCTTCGGAAATGGGGGGAGGGGGAGAGAAAGCAGGTCGTGGTCTATTTTTTGTTTCCATCACGGTATTTGTTTGGAAGGACTTAGGAAAACCACAGATGCCCTCAATCAGGATATCTGGTCTTCGACCCAATATTTTGATTTTCCCGAACTTATACAATTATGGAGGTCCTGTCAGAATGTATGAGAACCCTAAGGTACCAGCAAATACATGTTTTGTCTATATTAAGGCCATGAGCCATTTGATAACACAAGTCAACACGCTTCTGGTAACGTGATTGTAAGATAACTCTTCACATTAAGATGGCTGTTTTCTGGTATGTTGCGCCCAGAAGTTTGCCGACGTTTCAGAGATACTTGCTGCCTGTATCATTAGAACGACCATCACAAATATACGTAAGCCGGGGAAGGGACAGAGCACGAGCCATCATCCTTTGCAATCTTACTGTGACGTAGCTCACGCTCGCAGATATCTTGCGTCAACTGTCCAACACAATGATGTGAATAAGAATTCGCGGCGACATATTTCCACGCCACCATCTTAATTTTGTGGTACGTAATTCAACAATCGTAAAACTTGACCTTGCCTCGACAGAATTGTTTTCCTGTTTGTGCTGGCATTTGAATCTCCCTCACTGTTTCGTTTCATTAGACTGACTGAGAGTCCGGAACTGATCGCTCTCACATGTGACCGAATTCACGTTCTTAGCGACGAGGTTCATCAACCTCGGTTTCTTCACGATGCATTTCCCGGCAAGAGTTCGACGTCTTGTCTTATCTTTAACAGAGTGGCTCGCAGACAGTAGTTTTCTTCTTAAATTATAATAAGGGAAGTTGCGATTCAATTTTTTTTTAAATAGACACAGATTTGTTCCTTATTCTAAATGAACGTAACTTTATTATATTCGGAAAATACTCAACATTTTGTAGTTCAGGAAAATTTTACTTCCGTCTTCCATCTAAACATGTGAAGGTTAAAATGTACGAAGGGATAACTATGGTGCTTATACTGGTGTTAACGGGGACCTTTAAACCGTGTATGTATATAATCGTGAAGCCGGGCCTTGAATAACGGGCGTGACATGGTAAGACATGCGTCAGACAACGTACAAGAAAAGTAGGTAAAATTCGCGGCACGGTTGGCCGGTCTAGATAAATTAACTTCTGCTCAGCTTAGTAAGTAGTCCAGACGGAAACACGCATCACATCTTAAGGACAAAGAGTTCTGAACACACCCACACTTGTTACAGCATTTGACCAATGTTCTAGACTTTTATAATAATTTAATTCTTGAAATTATTAGCCCATATTTTGTAATTCTTCGGAAATGGGGGGAGGGGGAGAGAAAGCAGATGAATAAATATTCAAATAAATAAACAGATTTGAACAGTTATAATATTTAATCGTTTCGATAAAATTCCGTTCGATACTTTATGTAAGTCCGCTTTTTTCTCTGTTGTCAGAACTTCCAACCAAAATCTTTTACACACATTAGATCTCCTCCATGAGTGCCAAATGTACAGTACTTCCCTGTGTAGGCAGAGACCATGCGTTGGGCCGTCTGAGACTCGAACCAAGCACCTTCCGAATAAAATTCTAAAGCGTTACAGATACACCATCCAGTTCGCTTGATTTCGATTACATTTCACAATAAGCTGTACAATGTAAATTATTGGCTGAATTCAATTTTGAATTTCGTCGGTTCAACGTAATTAATTCTCCAAAAGAAGCTCAAATCAGATATATAAATTTTTCAGAAATACCTCATTCTACAACAAACTGCTACGTAATCATAAATACAGATCCCATAAGTTCTATAAATGTTGTTTTGGCCATTTTTAGATTTGGTGCATTGCCAAATTTAACGAAATATAAGATAAACATTATTTTGCAACTAAACAGCGTCCCTTTTTACGACAGATTAGTTTTTGAACAACAAAAATTATTATGAGATGATAAAGTTGCGTCATATTGTGATAAATATATATTTGTTTAAATCTTGTCAGTCTAATCACAATAAAATTCCTATTAAATATTAAAATATTACCATAATTAACATTTAAATATTTAAAATATATTATATGATGTTCTCTATCGAAATGTAAAAAAGTGATGATCTAAAAGTGAAAAGTGATAATCTTATGTAAATCGAACATTTCGATAGAGAACATCATATAATATATTTTAAATATTTAAATGTTAATTATGGTAATATTTTAATATTTAATAGGAATTTTATTGTGATTAGACTGACAAGATTTAAACAAATAAAAATTATTATTTTTATAGAATTTACGATATATGATGTTGATTACCTTTGACAAAAATTGATTTTTACGTGTAATAAATGAATATCAAGACAAATGAATGCCACAGAACTTCAAAGAACGCGCTCAGAAAACCTGTGTTCTCCAAACTCGATCACAACTTTCCATCCTTAGTATGTGGGACTGGGTGTTTTTCGAACCGGAACAATCATGAAACAACACAACATACGTACGAATACCACTATATATATTATACTTTCGTTTTATTGCGACAGGTTAAAGACACAAGTTTGGGTTTGGTTATTCTGCGTAGCTGTAAGAGCACGTGGGTAGATTTAGGTCGCCGCAAACAACGTAATACGTAGGCGACTGACATCAAGTACATGCTGAGACACTTTGTCTTACTTTTGACACAAGACAACATGAATCTGAAAACACACACTTATTTATTTATTTATGGAATACATGCCTGAAAGAAGAACATACATTGCCGGCGTTTGAGAAAAGGGTGATGTGTAGACTATTCGGAACTAAGATGGAGAAAGTGAAAGAAAGAATAAGTGACAGTCATAATGAAGAACCTTATAATTTACACTCTTCGCAAACTATTATTATGGATGATCAAATCAGGGAATGTCCCAAAAAGATGCATACACATTATAATACGGAATATTAACTTTGTTCATATAGACTACACCTTCTTTGATGCCTGTATGTGTGGAACATGCAACACGGTTACCGGACATCAGAAATTCGCAAACAAACTGAACTCAGGAACCCTTATGACGCGACTTGCGAGGCCTAGGCGTATTTCAGAGAACATTAATACTGACCGTAAAGGAACAGGATAAGATGCTGTAAATTGGACTCAACTGGCTAGTGATAGGTTCCAGTGGTAGATTCAGTAAGCCTAATGAACCTTTGGGTTTCATAACTAATAGTGCATGGGGGAGAATGTGTTCAGAAACTGAGCGATCACTAGTTCCTTATAAAGAGCTCTGCTCCAGCAAAGTTTGAGGCAGAGAAATTTAGATATTTATTTGGACTGAAATTCTTCCTTCGTATTCCAGAGTTCCCAGTTTCAAATCTAAAGCCAATGGTCGGGACTGAGATTTCCGATATTTTTCCTCAGTACCTCCGGGAAATATCAGACAGTATCTTTAATTAGGCCAGGACAGCTTCTTTGCATGCCTCTCATTAATAATACTACAATTCGACGCAACACAAACTGAGCCACTAACAGCTTTGTTAAATAGAAAACAAGTAAATAAATAAATTGAATTTCTCTGGTAACAAGATTACGAAATCAAATACTTTCAAAGCAAACCTTGCCAGCAGACTAAATATTTAAAAGTAAAAATATAAAAAATGTATATTTTAATGGGGCCCGTGTTTTAAAAAGTAAACGAATAAATTGTGTGACGAATCGTTTCTTACAAAATCGATATAGTTCGATATGAGCATAATTTGTTTTTAAGGATTATGTTATGTATGATGGAACAAAGAAAGCTATAAAACTATGGAGAACCGCCACTCAATTCCTTTGTTTCTGGAGTGGGTGGTAGAGAGAGCTAGCGCCCAGCACGTCACAGGAATGGGAAAAAGAGAAACTCGTCAGAAGCCGACAAACAAGGAACAGCGTGGAATATTAATTATTCCTTTTCAGACAAAAACGTATTGGGTACAAGCCTGTTCCCATTTCATATTCATCTTTTAAAGAATCTTACTGTGTCCGTGTCTCTTCGGTTCGTAACGAAATGCAAGTTCTGTAGTCTGCGACTGTCCGATTTCTTAAGCCGTCCACTCTTCCGTGTAACAATACTAGAAAAATATACTCTGGAGACAGGCAAGGATGAAGATGGCTGTCTGTGAGTTATTACGCTGATAAAATCGGCTCTAAGGACCTGCGGACTTACATCTCTCTTACTCGAAGAACATAACAAAAGCCACAATTATTCCAAGGTCACTGTTGCGATGTGATCAGAGGTCATTGTTTTGAGCCAAAAAACTACTTCGGCTCCCATTTTTGCAACAACGCGTCTTAATAATGATCCCGGTTCATGTGAGCTGCCTAGTTCCTAGATAAGTTTGCGACAGACGGGTTCCTCGTTCACGCTAGAGCGTGCATAACACCTGAAGCCTATGTAGCCTACAACCTGCCTAATATAGAAATAACTTTGCATATTATTTAAACTGTTTGAACATAATGCCTGTGGTCACACTGTGCTTTTATCGCATTCTGTTTTGCAAGACGATAAGTATCCTTAAGAATACAAGATAAATCAGCTCTTACTTCCTAGCTGTAAATTATTATTATAGTTGTCTACAAGTGAGTCAAAAAACTACGAGTAATTCACGAATAAGGGTAAAATACGAGGCGCGTCCCAAAAGGAAGTTTCCCACTCGTCCCACAGCTAGCAAACCTTATATTGCGCGAAGCGACTGTGCGTACGTGATGGAGCAATGCCGTAGCATGGCGCATGCACTAACGGTACTTCCCGCGTTCTCACAGTAGCATCGTTGCAGCTGTTGAAGATGGAGGTTCTTATTCCAGCTCCCGCCGACTGTGAAGTGCGGTCAGTGATAACGCTAGGCCGCACACGGCTCGACGGACAGCGAGTCTCCTGCAGGAGGTCAGCTGGGAGGTGTTTAATCATTCACCCTACAGCCCGGACCTCGCTCCCAGTGATTTCCATCTTTTCCTACACCTCAAGAAATTCCTGTCCGGTCAGCGTCAGCGTTTTGAGAATGACAGAGAGGCGGAGATGGTTGTCACACAGTGGTTCCAATCCCAGGCGGCAGACTTCTACGACACAGGGATTCAAAAGTTGGTCCCACGGTATGACAAATGTCTCAATTCCGGTGGCGAATATGTTGAAAAATAGCTGGACACTTGCTGTATCTGTTGCAATAAATATTTCCATGAAATTGTGTTTTGTTTCTGTAAACGGCCCCAGGGAAACTTACTTTTGGGACGCGCCTCGTAATATAAGAAACGTGGAAACTCCAAGAATACGAATCAAATTAAAAAACTTACAAACACTGAGCAATTATAGCTTTAGTTTGTAGTTTTCTAAGTTGTGAAACCGATTAATCTTGTAGGTGGTTGACAATGTACAAGTTATAACCTGAAGACGAAGATGACTGGTTCCTCTGAAATTTCATAAACCACCTAGAAGGCTGCATTGTGCAAGAACCCATCAGGAGAGACAATCTAATTCTCACAGGCACAAAAGCCTCACTTTTTTCACACGTAATGTTTATGGGCTTTTCAGGACACAGATATGAGGTGGCTCGTGGTGCTGGCCTGTACTTTGGCGTTGTCTCTTGTGGCCTGCGAGAGCCGAGCGGAGAGCGACGAATGGGCTTGGGGCAAAGGTCGAGACCAGAGTTCCGATGACAAGCAAACAGGTACAAAGCCAATGCTTCACTAACTCCACACAGCAGATTCCCTTTGAGAAGCTGACGGTTGTTCAGTTGCCAATAAATTTTCCGCCTATTCTGAAGTCTAAGGTTCATTACCGTGTCAACAAAATCCTGCCACTGGGCCCTATCCTGAGCCAGATTAATTTAATCACCCACACACTCATACCATATTTATTTAAGAGCAATTCAAATTCAATCCTGTCATTTACACACAAGTATACCAAGTTATCTCTTACCTTCTGGTCTTCCGACTACATAACAAAATTCACTTCTCGTTCCCCCACTCGTTCGACGTGCCTGTCTATCTCATTCTCCTTGGATCGATCACCTCTTTGATAAAGTGTACTCATTATGCAGTTTCTCATTACCAAATATTCTTAGACTTCTTGTTTCTGCCTATATCTTAACTGCTCTCTGGCATTCAGTCTTTGGATGTCCTCACCTTGAAGTCAAGAGACTTACGTTTCACACCCATACAAAATAACAGGCAAAATTATACTTTTTATATCTTAAAATTCACATTTTTGACGATGAACGGGATGACAAAATGTACTGACCTGAATAGTAGCAAGCATTATTCGAATGTAATCTCCTTTTAACTTCTTCGTTAATGTAATTTTGATTTGTTACTGTCGTTTCCAAATATGAGAACCATTCCTCAGCTCATAAAATGTATTAAATATCATTATACTATTATTTTGTCCTGAATTCGAACGACGAAGCACTAACATGTATTTATTTCTTATAAGTTTCCGTGTGAACTAACCTCCTTTCTAGTGAAACATCAAACACGAAGGGGCTGTACTGAAACATCCGGCTATTTCACCTCCAGTCGAATTCTGAGTCTCAAGAAACAGACTAGCATCTATAAATTAGAGATTCTACGGAAGTGGTGCAATATAGTCGGCATGGCAAATAAAATTGTTTTTCTAGTCTAAATGTCTTTGCTAACACTGATTATTCTTTAATTAAACCATATTTATTTGTATTATGGTCATTCCAATAGTATTTTACAGACTGAGCTATGATCTCTGTTTCGATAGCGTCAGCAAATTAGAATTTTCTGTGTTGCCGCCCTCTGTAATACTTCAAACCCTTCGTCTATCTTTAAGACCATAAACACTCCACAGTAAACCTCATATCTTACAAAATAAAACGTCTGTATCCACCAGGAGTGCTAGATGCGTCCAGCAGTAGTCAGATTCTGAACGTGACGTCAAATGTCGAAGTAGATGAAGAATCCCTAATCGATAGCATCGTGACATCGACCCGTCAGGGGCGAACTCTGCAGCAGGATGGTTACAACCAAGTGGCCAGCGACCCGCAAGTGAGGGAGGCGTTAGAAGCCGGGAATGACTCTCAGGCTCGCCACTACATTCGAGAGAAACTCTGTAACTTGGGACTGATGGCAGTAAGTACTGGAAAGTTACACAACCGCCGGAAATCCCCCAGAAAATTAATCAAGGTTTGACTGCTATCATTTGAACCAGACCCGAATATTATCTGCGGCTGGGTCGGGCCCGTAGAGACCTCTAGTGGGGCTATTACAGCATTGACCCAAATTCACGTACAACTTCTGTTCCGGGTGCATTTTTTAAAGATGCGTTCACATTTGGAATATAGAATGAGATTACGATGATATTACAAATATAAGTCGCTTCTAAACAAAGCCGTAGTGATAATCTGAAGTGGATATGAAATACTTTACACAAAAAATAATTCCGACCTACTTTCCTTTCCTTCACACATACAATCACTTGGAAAGACATTTGAGAAACTGTAACGATACATCAATCAGCGTATCTGGACCTCTATAGAACTTTATCTGAAATGGGTTTTAGCCTAAACAAGAATGGTTTACGGCCAAACAGAAAACTCTATTCTGACAGAAGAAAGCCTGTAGGCCATTGGACAAAACTTATTGACAAACAGATAAAAATAAGATGTGTAACTACCACGTAATTATTTTATCAAAACTTTAATCTAAAACGCCATAAAATGACTTTTAAGTATCTTCCAACTTGTGTCTTGCAGTGCGAGCCTGGAATCGAACCAAAGCGCCCATACGTACATCCCCACGACCTGATCTACGCCCAGCCAGTCCATATAAAGCCAGTGGGTCGTCCGATTCCCGCAGTTCCAGTTCGAGGCCCGCCAGTGCACTCACTCGGCGGATACGGGCCCCCTAAACCGATCCCTTTCCCCCCTGGTCCAGGGCCAATCATACCCCCTTATCGGCCACCACGACCTCTACCCGGACCCATCTACGGAGCGCCCAAACCCTTATCCCCACCCGTGTACGAAACAATCGAGCCAGACTTCCACGACTACCATCCTCACCCGCCTCTTAAGAAGCCTGTGGAAGTGGTAGTCAACTCTAACGGCGGAGTTCAACAACACGTGCATCACCATTTTCACCACGGTGATGGTGGTGTGGTGAAGCCTGCAGTTGTGGTGGACCATTCTGGTCCACTGATACCGACAGGTCCTGCGTTTGAATCTGGACCGGTGTATGGTTCTGCATCAGTAGGACCTAGCTCTTCTTTCGCTGGTGGACCAATAGGAGGAAGTGGCTCTTTGTATGGTGTTGGGCCAATAGGAGGAGGAGGAGCTCTTTATGGTGGAAGTGGTTCTTCGTATGGTGTTGGGCCAATAGGAGGAGGAGCTGCTCTTTATGGTGGAAGTGGTTCTTCGTATGGTGTTGGGCCAATAGGAGGAGGAGCTGCTTATGGCGGAAGTGGTCCTTATCTGGGTCAAAGTCCGTTTTATAAAAAGGAGCTGTCTATCAAAACGCCTCTAACAGGTAAGATAAATAGATTTATAGAGGATATCTGAAGTTTACGTCGGCTTAATTTACGACAATTCACATTCACGACATTTATATAACATTATCTACGATTCATTAGACGTCGGCGGGTCGGTATAATTTCCATCGGACTTATTTTATTCTCAAGTGTTTTAACATTTAGATTTCAACCTATCAAACCTTGTTAAGTGTCCACAACAGCCAGCCATTGGAATAAATTCCACAATCGTATCCTGCTACTTTAAGATATATTTCAATGTTATCTTCACACACATACAGAGGCCTCCCCAATGGCTTCTTTATTTCTGGTTTCCTGACGAAAAATTTGTGTGTACGTCTATTTATCATCTTTGAAATGCATTATCGATGTTCTGCTCGAAGGAGGATACCCTAATAATATTTGGTGCCTAGTACAAATTTTGTGTAAGTTCCTCAATAATATTGAAGATGAAGATTTCTGTCTTCTGGGTTGTTGCGCTGTGTAGTCTGGTCGATGTTAACCAACGTTTCAGAGGTCATACTGCCTCCGTCATCAGGGCGATGAATATGAAGATTTCTGTCTTCTGGGTTGTTGCGCTGTGTAGTCTGGTCGATGTTAACCAACGTTTCAGAGGTCATACTGCCTCCGTCATCAGGGCGATGAGTATGAAGATTTCTGTCTTCTGGGTTGTTGCGCT